TATATGTATATATATATATCTACTATAGCATATTTATATATGCGCAATTGCTCACTTTTTTTGCTAGTCTAAATTAAGTGAGCATTTTGAGAAAACGATAAGGAAAAACGAAGAATAATGAATGAAAAGGTTACTGACCCATACTAAACCCTCAGTCGATGTAGCAGCACTCAACTGCGAGTCAGGCTATTTGTTAGTCGATGTATGTACTGAAGCCCCGGTAGCAGGCTATTTCAGTATGACATCATCATGCTCACAAAACTCAGCAGTATAAGATATATATGCATATATATGCATATATATTGTAGTAATTGTGTAAATATTTCTTGTTAAAGAGTGCTCAATACCAAAGTAGAGCAATATATAGTAAAAACTAAATAATTATAATACTTGATTTATTTAAAACATTACTCGAAGTTTCATGCAAATAGCGATCATCAGATGTTACAAATCTCAAAAATAACGACAAAAAAATATATTAAAAATACTGTGGAGTGTCCTCTTTGATGCCATTAAAGTTATTCATCATGTATATATATATATATATATATATATATATATACATGAAGTTATTCATCACATATATATATATATATATATATATATATATATATATATATATATATATATATATATATATATATATATATACATATATATATATATATATATATATATATATATATATATATGTATGTGTGCAATAATTCAAAGTTCAGAAAATACATAGAAAAAAACATACTTGATATCCCATTAACAATAAACAAATTTTTTATAGAACCATTTTGAACTTCAAATTCTGGGTCAGAAGCATACACCTTAACCTTATCAAAAGTTTCAGCTTCATTATTAATAACGGTAGAAACAACTTGTCCATTAATTGTGATTGAGTACACATAAACATCATTTTTCAAAATTTGACTTATAACAATGTTCGACCAAATTTGTAAACTCATTGGTTTGCTATTATAATAGTAATCACGTATGCCATTAACTGGAGATACAACTTGAAGTTTTCCATCACCATCTTTATGAAACAAAATGCAAGGTATTTTATATCCTTTATATTTATTTTCAGAACCAATAATAAAAGAAACAACATTATGCCAACCACTAACAAATTTATTAGGATTGATGTCAAATGAAATTAAATACTCTTTATCAAATTTTGGTATTTCAGTAATTAGCTGTCCTTGTACTAACGGGGTAAGAATATTTCCAATTATGTACTCTAAAGTATAAGGTATAAATTGTGTTTTAATAATTACAAACTATTAATTTTATATAGTAAAAATAATAACCAAAAAATTGAAATATTATTATAAATTTTACATAATTTAACTTAAAAAAAAAGGGTTTGTACTTATACTTTTATTGTAATTATTTATTATACATTTATTACAAATTTTTTTAGCTTTACTTTATATATATATATTTTTTATAAACTTATTTTACTTTATAAACATAGAAATTTGAAGTTTTAGATTTTATTATTTCATTTTTTTCTAGTCTTCTATTTCTTCAACCATTTTATTCATATAGTCCATGCGAGTACTAACATCATCTTGTGTTTTTGCCATTGGATGTATTCACACTTTTTATTAGATGGTTCTCATATTGCACCAAATCTAGTTGACAGACACCATCACCTTTTATATATGATGTCTTTACAGTTACACTGATAAGACATCATATTTATAGACTCAACTAGTTAAATATTAATAATGGTTGAAAATGGTTTTACCTCAATGCCAAAAAAACTCAAAAAAAACTGTGATTTTTTTTTTGGAATGGGAAGTTAATTATTTTCTATCTTCTTTTCCAAGAAACAACCTTGGATGAAAATATCAGGTTAATATCCTAAAATTGCATTAGGTATAAACAAAACATCTTTATTCAGGGTTTGTTGTTCAACATTAGATAAATTATATTGCGATAAACTTATTGTTTCATATTTTTTATTTTATGCTTGAATAAATTGTAATTAAAACTCAAATAATTCAAAATTTACCTGCATTCCCATTGATGATCAAAAGTTCAGAGATAGAACCATTTTGAGTATCATGCCGAGAATCTGAGGCATACACTTTTATGTTCTTGTAATCTCTTGCATCTAAGTTTTCTACTTTATAAATATTAACATTGTTTAAATCCACAGAAAACCAATACTTATTGTCAAGTAAACTTTGATAAATTTTAATGGAGGACCACTGACTCAGTGGAAGACGTGATGTTTCAATGTAATAGTTAGTACTACTATTTACTGCAGCAACTATAACAAGCTTTCCTGAACCATCTTTATGAAAGTAAACATCTAGATTTTTATCACCGTAATCTCCAAAATCATTAGCTAAAGTTAACTGAAGTACATTTTTTATACCTATAGAGTAATTTAATGGTTTTACATTAAAAGAAACAGTGTACACCTTTTTTAAAACATTAAGAGTTCCAAGCAATGAACCTTGAGTTAGATTAATCTCTTCTTTATAGATGATAAAATCTAAAAAAAAATATTTGCTACTTTAAAGCCTCAGTAAAAAGAAATAAATATTTCCTTTATCTTCATACAGAAAAAATTTTATTTAATTTATCATTGTTGTTTTTATTTTATTTGTTAAATTGAAATTTGTAGTATTTGCGCCATAGTATCGCTATTATGGATTACTAACCTACATTTTTATTCTGGTTTATTAAAATTTATTTTTTGTTTACATACTTTATTAAAAATCAATTTTTGTCCTGGTTTATAAACCCTTTGATTCTTTTCATATTTTCATGCTTTGAACCTTTTCTTAAAAAAAAAATTTTTAGGGAAAACTCAAAAACTTAACTAAAATTAAACTTGAAAACAAAAAGAACACATTTAAAAATATTATTTTTCAAATGCGCTCTTCACAGGTCAGAAATTTAAGGTTTAAGTTTACTATCTGAGTACCCCCAAAATGTTAACAAATATAATAAGTGGGACATCTGGACACTTCATTTTCATATTTAGAAAAATCTGGGAGGTATCACATTTTTAGAAAAATCTGGGAGGTATCACATTTTTAGAAAAATCTGGGAGGTATCACATTTTTAGAAAATTGACATTGAAAATCTGATAAAAAGTCATTATTTTTGTACTTAAAAAAATTAATTAAACTGACAGAAAATTGAAGTTTATTTTAAAAAATTTTCATATACCAACTTTTCAAGGTCTTTAATTTAATATTTATACATAAACATTATTAGAATACACAAAGTTGGTCAAAAAAACATTTTTTATTAAAAATATTTCTTTTTGACTATGCATTTTTATTTTTATTTTATTATAGATACCTAATATATTGAATCTATGACTTCTCTGCTCTCTAAGGAGAAGAGAGAATACCATTTTATAAGAAATCGTACTTTTTCAAAAGATCATTTGCTGTTGCTGCCTTGAAAAGAACAACAAATGCATTCCAGTTAATAAAAATTTGGAAGGTCTGGTTCAAGTTTTCTGTAAGCCTGAGTTTTCACCTAAAGTATTTGCCTACCCTACAGGATTATGCCCAGGTTGCAAGAAAAACTTATATCTCTGTAAGGCTGGTAAAACTATTGCAGACACAGTTACTTTAAAATGGAAAAATTCTAATTTATCTTGCAAACCTCTAGATATTGCTCAATATTATGCAATATATGCATAATATTGAGCAATCAAGTCAAGGAAGAAATAGATTATTAAATAAAAGTATGAAAATGGGAACTAGCTCAACACTGAAACTTTGCCAAATATGTTTCTGTAAAATTGCTAAAGGTAAACCCCACAAATGTTCCCCTTTAAAGAGTAGCACAAATCTTTCTGAGAGTATTTCTGAAATTTCTAAGAAAGTAAAAGAACAAGTAGCAGGTACAAGGAACAAGTAGCAGGTACAAGGAACAAGTAGCATCTTCTCTTCTTAAAGAAATTTATTCTGATCAAGAGCAAAGTCTAGGAGCTCAAGCCATTCTCAGAACAGGTAAATAGCTGTTATATACGTTCTTAAAATAACAGTTTATATTACATTAAGGAGGTAAAAGCATTCATATTACACTCGGTACTCGGGAAAGTGACCAGAGAAAGATTCCTTATAATGAAGTAGAAATTTTGGTAAATACCTTAGGACTTAGTCAATTGAAGTCAAATGAAATGTTAAAAACTTTGAGGAGAAGTGGTGTAAAGTTTGAGTCAAAGATGGAGAAAGCCCTGGATGAAAAAAGTAAACTACTTTCCAACTTTTATGTCACTGAATTATTAGACTTTCAATAAAAAGAAAAAGATAATGACTACGCTACAGTGAAGAGACACTTGGTATATATTGAAGATATTACAACATTTCTGGATTTTGTAATAAAATATCGAGGGCAGGTTCCACAAAACATGTTTGTAAAGGTTGGAATAGATTCAGGTATTTATATTTAATTTATATTACTTATTATATTTTAATAATCGTCTTTTTGAAAACTTGTTTTTAAAAATATTATTTGTACATATTTATATACAAATATGTATGTGTGTAAGTATATATATATATATATTTATAGGTGGAGGATCACTGAAAGTTATAGTAAATCTGTTTGATCCAACCAAGGACAGGACAGAAGATAGCGGCTCCTTAGGATCATACTCAGGAGCAAATACGTCACTTGTTTTACCTTATTGTAAAAGGGCAAGTGAGAACCATTCTAACATGACAATGATTGTGGAAAGATTAAAGTTGCATGAATGCAAGTACTCATTGGCTTCTGACATGAAGTTAATCAACATATTGCTAGGAATTTCGGTGTGTTTGTTTTAAATAATTTTAAGATAATAAGACATATTATGGTAAAAACTATATTAGGAAAAGGTTTTTTTTACCCTACAATATATTTATAAATTGAATTATAATATAAAATTTTAGGATCATGGAGGAAAGTATGCTTGTGCATGGTGTGAAGGTTCTTCAGAATTATTTTCTGGAGAGTTAAGAACATTTCAGTCTTTGAATAATTACTATGAACTGTATTCATCTGCAGGATCTCCTGTGAAAAGAATGAAAGAATATAAGGTATAAATGAATAAATATATTGTAAATATTTTCAAAATTTATCATCCATTATAATTTTATCATTTTAAAAAGGATAAAAAAAATTTATTTCCATATATTTAGAATGTCATTAATATTTGTCTGCTTAAGATAGAAGACAAATCCCTAAGTATAATAAGAGAGATTCCATTACCAGGACTTCACCTTCTGATGGAATTAATCATGTGGCAGAATTTATAATGCAACTTTGGCCTGGATTTATAGATTGGGTAAAGAGCATTGGATGCCTTCGAAAAGGTTACTATGGAGGAAGAACATTTGAAGGAAACACGTGTAGAGAGATACTTGAAAGTTGCAACAAACTTGAGTTGATAATGCCTGTTGAACTGTAGCCTCTCTTAGAAACAATGAGAAAATTTAATAAGGTTGTTCATAGTGTCTTTGGCTATAAACTTGACCCAAACTATTCAATTTTAATTGAAAGTTTTACACAAAGCTATAAGGATGCGCAAGACTATTGCAGAGAGGTAATTGCTGTTTTCTTTACCCTTTGTATTTAAAACCAAGTTATTGATAAACATATTTTTAGTTTTTAGGTAAACAGCTTACGCTTACTTGGAAAGTACATGCTGTAACAGCACATCTGGAAATATTTGTTGATTTGAGTGGTCTATCCCTTGGGTAGTATAATGAGCAGACATCTGAATCGTGCCATTCCAAGATGAAAAGTGTAATAAACAGGTTTGGAGTCTCGCAGTACAGCAACAAACATAAAGAAAGAAGCAAAAGAATTGCTGAAGTGTTCAGTTCAAATAATTTATAAGTTATTGAACATTAATTGTACATCAAAACATAAACATATTGAAATCTTAAGTTAAAAAAATTTGTAAATTTATTCAAAAAGACATTAAAAATATATTAGTATAAACAGTTTTTGAAATATTTTATTTAGTATTTATTATACTATTATTATTTATATATATTAGATTATTTGGCAACTATGCATACAATACTAATATTTTACTAAATTACTTATCAATATTTTCTACTTTACTAAGCATACTATGTTCCTAATATAATTCAAGCATATCTAAACCTTCTTCACCAACTTGGATATATCTAAGAGCTGTCTAATGAAGTTGATGTGTAAATACAAAATTTAAGAGCATAAAAACTTGGAATATAAAGTTATTTTATGTTAATTTTACAGTTCCGTCAATATATTTAGTTTTTTTAGTACGAAAATAATGACTTAGTCATTTTTCAATTGTCTAAAAATGTGATACCTCCCAGATTTTTCTAAATATGAAAATGAAGTGTCCAGATGTCCCACTTACTATATTTGTTAACATTTTTGGGGTACTTGAATAGTAAACTTAAACCTTAAATTTCTGACCTGTGTCTTATGTAAATTATAAATATCACTAAAACATATTGTTTTTGTCAATTCTTGAATATAATTGAGTGCAAAAATAACAAAGCATAAAATAAAATGCAACTCAAATCATCTAAGTGCACAGTTTAGTTTATTTAGTTTGCTTGAATTAATTTGAGCAAGCATTTTAAGAAATAAATCTACTGTTTGTTATTTTGGTTTGTTAAAAACAATTGTTTACAACATTATACACACTTAAAAAAGGTGGCCATAACTTTTATAATGAGGGCCAAACTTAACTTTTTAGCAGCTAACTAGGGCTGTAGGCTTTTAAAAATATTGTATATATATATATATATATATATATATATATATATATGTATATATATATATATATATATATATGTATAATATATATATATATATATATATATATATATATATATATATATATATATATATATATATATATATATATATATATATATATATATATATATGTATATATATATATATATATATTTTTTTTCCACAGATATGTATATGTATATATATATATATATATATATATATATATATATATATATATAATATATATATATATATATATATATATATATATATATATATATATATATATATATATGTATATATAATACATCTATACACAAAATACATCTAAATACATCAATATATATACATATATATATATATATATATATATATATATATATATATATATATATATATATATATATATATATATATATATATATATATATATATATATATATATATACATCTATACACAAAATATATTTAAATACATCAATATATATATATAGGGTAATTCCACATCAAATCACCCACTCCATTGAACCATGTGTCTTCTTTTTGTTTTATATTTTGACACATGATTCCTATTTATAAAAAAATATTGCATGCAAAATTTCAGCTAAAAATGTCAAGCGGTTGACAAGATACAGCAAATTTAATTTGGACCTGGTTTCTCAAAATGACCCGGTTTTCATAACATTCTGAAAAGTTGTTTTCCTCAATAAAATAAGAAATAAAAATGGCAAAAATATAAAAATA